TGATGTTATGCAAAACATTTTGTTTTATGTGGATATTGGAATGTGAGTGAAGTACATAATAAATAATATTTTGGCATACATTTGATTTTGTGTCGAATGAGACCCAACGTTGGTTTCAGTTTCATTTTAACCTAAATTAATTCGTTTTGGCTTGTCATTTATATTGCTATAGCTTCTTATATTTTTAATTCTTGTTCTTTTCAAAATACTGTTAACTGAAAGGATTTGTTGTGGAGTGAGGGGAACTAAAATAGCCTAGCTATGTTTACAGTGTTTATTATAATGTTTGTAAACATTTCGCGTCGGCATTAGGCCTATTTCTGAATGAAACAATAAAATGCGACTTATACGCGACTTGTTTTTTCCCCCTAAAAAACTACTTTTTTTAACCATGCAGCAAACCTTTTTAAATATTTTGTTAAATTACTGAAAAAAAAAATAATTAAATGATTTTTAAACCGTTTAATTGAATGTATTAATCGGTCAAAATTCTTACGGTCGGTTAAACGGTTCAAATGAACATCCCTAGTCGATTCTTTTTGGTTGAATCAGTTTGAATCAGTCGAACTGGTTCGCAAATCAGTATGAATGTTGTTGTTTTTTTCATTCATTGTGAATCATTTGGGATTCAGTCTGAATTTGAAATGATTTTCTATGAATAAATAAATCTAATTAATAATTAAATCCTTACCCACTGCTCATTGGAAAGTTCATGGTAATGATTCATGGAAAATCAATATGCATGATTTTCTTAAAGAATGATAATGATGAATTCAGACACTTGCTAAAGTAATAGCCGCAAGATTTAAGGTTTGAGTCTACATTCATGTCTTTAGCACAAACGGCGTAATTATATGTGATTATAGTGATTTCGCTTACTTTAGCAAGCAGCGCTAATGATGATCTGTCTGTGTTTCTGTCAGGTGTGGCCGGGGCTCAGCAAGCGCAGGGCCAGTCGAGGCGTTTCACAACCATGGATGTTGATGAGGAAGAGAACATGAGTGAGTGCTCGAGTCTGAACCCCAAACCCTCCATTCCAGCACAGCCCTGCACACTCCCCTTAACTAATGTGTCACTTACTGAACGGTTCATGTGCCTTCCCGTCCCTCTCTACGCCCCTCACGCCGAACGATCCCACTGACACACACACAAGAGATGTGCGAGGGTCACTTCCTGTTGAGTCGAGGGTTTAAACATGGACAGAATTTTTATATTGCATCTTTAGTTCATTCAGAAACCCTCCCATGAGTTTGTTGTCTGACAAACATTTTATATATTGGGATTTTCGACTCCTTTTTTTTCTTTTGTTTTATTCTGTTAATACAATTGAAAACAATCGATACAATGAACTTTTTAATCAAGTTAATCCAAATTTAGTTGAGGGATTAAATGTCTTATTTACATAGATTCGATTTCTAATTTTTATAACGTGAATACATTTTTTTTATGCTATGTAAGTCGACAAAAGAATCTGGCATGATAGATAGTCCATTCAGGTCACAATTTAGCCTTTTTTTTAGTATTTTTTTGTCTTTTGATGAAAATAACTTTTAGTTCTGATTTTTGTAGTGTTTTTTCATCTGACTGAAATGGCATATAATAGTCAATGAAATAATAAAAGCAATGGATTGTGGTTGACAATAATGTCTTAGATGAATATAAATATTTAAATATTTGTTCATTTAAACATGTATCAGACATACTGTATGCCACATACAGTATCCACATACAGCACAACATGCTCCTGAAAAAAATAACATATGACCAGAAAACATAATAATGAAAAGAATTTCAACTTGCTTTTGGTTTTTGGATAAAACTCTGTCATCATTTACTCACCATCATGTTGTTTTATGAGATATTTTGAAGAAAGTTGGGGCTCAAACTACATCGGACCCTACTAACTTTTATCTAAATAATGAACAAATAAATAAATAAAAATGAGATGATAGTAAATTATGACACAATTTTAATTTTCATTTTTGCTTTTAAGTACTTATTTTTATGCCATTGTAAATTTAGAAAAAAAGGGTATCTAAATAATTGAAAACAAATTATAGATAATAAAATTGTATTTTAATTTGTTTTAAAACACTAAAAAATTATCAGTGTTTTAAAACAAGGTTTTTTTTTTAATAAAAAAAAAAAACAGTGGAACCATCAAACTATGAGTATTGATGCTCAATAACCCGTTAACCTAGAAATGTTGCGTTCCCTAATTCTTTGGGCTTTACTTGAATGTGATCAAAGAAGACTGACATTCCAGCACAGCCCTGCACACTCCCCTTAACTAATGTGTCACTTACTGAACGGTTCATGTGCCTTCCCGTCCCTCTCTACGCCCCTCACGCCGAACGATCCCACTGACACACACACAAGAGATGTGCGAGGGTCACTTCCTGTTGAGTCGAGGGTTTAAACATGGACAGAATTTTTATATTGCATCTTTAGTTCATTCAGAAACCCTCCCATGAGTTTGTTGTCTGACAAACATTTTATATATTGGGATTTTCGACTCCTTTTTTTTCTTTTGTTTTATTCTGTTAATACAATTGAAAACAATCGATACAATGAACTTTTTAATCAAGTTAATCCAAATTTAGTTGAGGGATTAAATGTCTTATTTACATAGATTCGATTTCTAATTTTTATAACGTGAATACATTTTTTTTATGCTATGTAAGTCGACAAAAGAATCTGGCATGATAGATAGTCCATTCAGGTCACAATTTAGCCTTTTTTTTAGTATTTTTTTGTCTTTTGATGAAAATAACTTTTAGTTCTGATTTTTGTAGTGTTTTTTCATCTGACTGAAATGGCATATAATAGTCAATGAAATAATAAAAGCAATGGATTGTGGTTGACAATAATGTCTTAGATGAATATAAATATTTAAATATTTGTTCATTTAAACATGTATCAGACATACTGTATGCCACATACAGTATCCACATACAGCACAACATGCTCCTGAAAAAAATAACATATGACCAGAAAACATAATAATGAAAAGAATTTCAACTTGCTTTTGGTTTTTGGATAAAACTCTGTCATCATTTACTCACCATCATGTTGTTTTATGAGATATTTTGAAGAAAGTTGGGGCTCAAACTACATCGGACCCTACTAACTTTTATCTAAATAATGAACAAATAAATAAATAAAAATGAGATGATAGTAAATTATGACACAATTTTAATTTTCATTTTTGCTTTTAAGTACTTATTTTTATGCCATTGTAAATTTAGAAAAAAAGGGTATCTAAATAATTGAAAACAAATTATAGATAATAAAATTGTATTTTAATTTGTTTTAAAACACTAAAAAATTATCAGTGTTTTAAAACAAGGTTTTTTTTTTAATAAAAAAAAAAACAGTGGAACCATCAAACTATGAGTATTGATGCTCAATAACCCGTTAACCTAGAAATGTTGCGTTCCCTAATTCTTTGGGCTTTACTTGAATGTGATCAAAGAAGACTGATCGGATTCAAGGCTGAAGAAATACACAGAGTTCTTTTCGTGTATCGGAGTCCCGATCGTCTTCATTCAGCAGTGCTGTGAATAGAAGGTTCTGGGAAGAGTTGTTAACCCAGAGGATATCTAACCCGCTATTGTCCCGTCACTCAGCCGCTTCTGTTCAGAGCCACTGACAATGGAGGGTCCCGTCATTTATTACGGATCTGTAGTGAAGCGGACGCTTTCTTATTTAGATTTTCTGCTGATAAGCATACATGATATCCAAAAGCTTTCTTCATGTGACAGTGCATATTTCTCTATCAGGTTTAGATGTTAGGTGCATGAAAGTGAAGGATTATGCACAGCGATTCATTGCTTGGCAAGAGCGACCGTTATACGCACTCATTCAGCACCAGATTTTCCACCCCGATGACTAATAAAATAATAGTTGTTTTTTTTTGCCCATTTTTTTCCCCATTGATTTTCTCCATAGGAATTTCAGAAAGCTTTGACCATTTTGACCAAGAAGTGCATTCGACTGCGTCGCCATCCACCCATTGAGAATCAACATGGTGGTCTTTTTGACTCAACTAATGCACACAAAAGTAGCTGGTGCACCTCAGTGTTATTAGACTTCTGTGTACTTGTGCTTTTAAAGTTCATGTGTCTAGGGGAAAGATCCTGTTGTGTTTGCTTTTACATGTACTGAAAAAAATTGCATTAGAAACTATTTTAACTGAGAAATTGTTAGTAAATTTCACAAATAATTACAAAGAATCAGCAAGTAACACATTGAATTAAACATGAATATTTTGAAGTACAAAGACTAAAGTTGTATTTTCTTGTAAAACATACTCTAATATTCTGTTTTATTTAGAACTTTGAAAAATCATTTTATGGCATGTAGCGACTAGCGACTGTAAGAACTGTTAGTTTTATGCTTTTTCGGCATGTGCGATTGATTTTACTTTCAGCTGAAGGTGGGCAGCTCTCTAAACTGACAGCTTGAACATCTCTAGTAAACAATAAAAGCTGTTTTTGTTTTTCCAGGGCTGTTAAAGTTGAGTTGCATTGCATAAATCTTTTAGGGTTTCTTTGTTTTCAGTGTAACATTGGATTTATTCTGAAACCTAGTGACCTGTCTTGCTGTCTGCTTCTTAACTGAAATTGAACCTCACAGATTCTAGATAGGGAGCATCATACAAATAGCGATCCTCACACAAAGCACAGATTTGACTGAAATGATTTGACATTAATCTTATAAGCATAAAAATACATAGCAAACACAAATACTGTGTCAATTTGTAATTATATTGCATGTTTTTAACACTTGCAGATTAATTATTGTAGAGTATTGGATGGAGTTTGTCACAATGAATGAGATTGAATATGCACACAGTACCTTTTGGATGGCAAGTTATGCTTTAAAATGCCACTTAAGTAGGCAGCTCACTAGGTTTTGGAACAAAGCTTTTGTTTTAGCAAGAGTGCTTTCCATTATTTAGGACAGAATTGATCACATGAGGTCAAATTGATTACACGAGCTCAAAAGAACATGAGTGTGTGTGTGTGTGTGTGTGTGTGTGTGTAACATGGATATGTGCATTCACACGCATAAGAAGGGTTTCGATTTTTAAGATTCTGCTCCAGACTGTTTTGTATATTTCTCTCTTCTTTGTATCTCTTTTTCGTTCTTCTCCACGTTCTCTCTTTTGCTCCCCCTGTGTTTGTTCTCACACGGCTTTCTCTTTTCTCAGATCTCTTCATTTTATTTCTCCTCCTGCCTTGCACCCACTCCCTTATCCACCCTGTTGTTCCTACTGTTTGCAGAGAGCTCTTACTCTGTTCCCCTACTGTTCACGGATGCTATTCTTTTTCTACCAGAGCACTGAAAGCAGTAACCTAGCGAGCTTTTGCTGAAGGATGTTATAAATGAAAATTTAGCCAAAGTTCCACCCACTTTGTCAACAGGACATGATGATGTGTGTTTCATCTGCTTATTAATGCAAAACAATTGTGACCTGTAAATAGACACAAATTGTCCAGGTTCTGTTTCACCCCAAAATCAAAATAAAATAATGTTAATAAACCATCCATAATTTTAAGGCCAGCTTTTTTTTTGGGGGGGGGGGGTTGGTTTTTTTGTTTTGTCTTGCTTTGTTTAATTGTTTTTACTGTCACAGTTAACACATTAATAATGTTACAGCGTTCATTTAATTTGATTTCTAAAACCTTTAGAAGGAGTGAAAAACAGTTTTACATAAATATAAAATGTCATCCACAGAAAGTGCCAAACCTAATAATTGCATGTAGACTTGTTTGTTTTAGTTTTTTAGTATTTTATTTGTATGTTAAAATTGACTACAGTATTTATTAATTTATTTACATTTACTTATTATTTCTTTAAATTTTTTGGGTTGAAATATGATGCTTGATTGATTGATAAAGAAATATTCACAAAACACCACACTAAAAACATTTCTAATATTTAACCTTTTTATTGTTCACCCATTTTTATTGGTATTTTCATAACCACTTATATGAAGAGAATTTGTCATCCCTCAAAACGAGACGCATTTATGTCGTTATTAGTCTTTTTAAAGCTTTGCTTTTGTTCTCCATTAATACATATTTTATCTCCAACGAGATGATTGATTGACTCTGCACGGACCATTGCCTGCAAAACTGAAAATGTACTTTAAATTAAACTGATGATTATGATCATTTAGATTTTATACCTCATGGTCTTCCTTAATTATGTTAATTAATCGTTTTTTTTTTCTCTTGAAATGTTTTTTTTTTTCAGTGTCATCTCTCTCATAATGATTTTTCACAAGATTAGTCAAAAAATGTGTCATGCTAGATTCCCTCGGCACACACAACAAAAGGAACACACATCACTTGTTCGGTTACAAAGAAAGATAAAGGAATCTATAAATTTTACATTTACAAGATCCTGCAACGAAGGCGTTGTAAGTTACTCTTTCTGGGCACCGCAGGTTCATGCAGCACCGACGTAAAGGAAAACCGCAACCTGGACACCGTCTCTTCTAAGGAGGGAGCTGGCCTGGTGGAGCAGCTCCCCAACGGTAGTGGAGGAGGGGGTCGCAAGCGGCCCCTGGAGGAGGGCAACAATGGCCACGCGCACTCCAAATTCAGACCCAAGAAACGTAAGAAAATGCCAGGGCCGGTTCTGCCCAAGAACGCCCTGATGCAGCTGAACGAAATCAAACCGGGTCTGCAGTACAAGATGCTCTCGCAGACCGGCCCGGTCCATGCACCGGTCTTCGTCATGACTGTTGAGGTTAACGGTCAGTTGTTCGAGGGCTCGGGGCCTACGAAGAAAAAGGCCAAGTTGAACGCCGCCGAGAAGGCGCTGCGCTCCTTTGTGCAGTTCCCAAACGCGTCCGAGGCGCACCTGGCCATGGGCCGTACGCTCACCGTCAACACGGATTTCACCTCCGACCAGGCTGACTTCCCTGACATGCTCTTCAACGGGTTTGAGACGCCGGCACCGAACGAGGAAATGTTTTTTCTGGGCTCCAACGGCAACGGCTCCTTAAAACAGCTGGGAGAGTATCCCGTGCCCCAGATGCCAGGTACGAACAGCCTCATGCAGGCGCCGCTGCCGCCGCCCTCCTCCTCGGCCAGCGGCAAAAACCCTGTCATGATTCTCAACGAGCTGCGGCCGGGCCTCAAATACGAGTTTGTGTCGGAGAGCGGGGAGAGCCACGCTAAGAACTTTGTGATGTCGGTGACTGTGGACTCGCAGACGTTTGAGGGCTCGGGCCGAAATAAGAAACTTGCTAAAGCCCGGGCTGCCCAAGCGGCTGACCATTGCCTGCAAAACTGAAAATGTACTTTAAATTAAACTGATGATTATGATCATTTAGATTTTATACCTCATGGTCTTCCTTAATTATGTTAATTAATCGTTTTTTTTTTCTCTTGAAATGTTTTTTTTTTTCAGTGTCATCTCTCTCATAATGATTTTTCACAAGATTAGTCAAAAAATGTGTCATGCTAGATTCCCTCGGCACACACAACAAAAGGAACACACATCACTTGTTCGGTTACAAAGAAAGATAAAGGAATCTATAAATTTTACATTTACAAGATCCTGCAACGAAGGCGTTGTAAGTTACTCTTTCTGGGCACCGCAGGTTCATGCAGCACCGACGTAAAGGAAAACCGCAACCTGGACAACGTCTCTTCTAAGGAGGGAGCTGGCCTGGTGGAGCAGCTCCCCAACGGTAGTGGAGGAGGGGGTCGCAAGCGGCCCCTGGAGGAGGGCAACAATGGCCACGCGCACTCCAAATTCAGACCCAAGAAACGTAAGAAAATGCCAGGGCCGGTTCTGCCCAAGAACGCCCTGATGCAGCTGAACGAAATCAAACCGGGTCTGCAGTACAAGATGCTCTCGCAGACCGGCCCGGTCCATGCACCGGTCTTCGTCATGACTGTTGAGGTTAACGGTCAGTTGTTCGAGGGCTCGGGGCCTACGAAGAAAAAGGCCAAGTTGAACGCCGCCGAGAAGGCGCTGCGCTCCTTTGTGCAGTTCCCAAACGCGTCCGAGGCGCACCTGGCCATGGGCCGTACGCTCACCGTCAACACGGATTTCACCTCCGACCAGGCTGACTTCCCTGACATGCTCTTCAACGGGTTTGAGACGCCGGCACCGAACGAGGAAATGTTTTTTCTGGGCTCCAACGGCAACGGCTCCTTAAAACAGCTGGGAGAGTATCCCGTGCCCCAGATGCCAGGTACGAACAGCCTCATGCAGGCGCCGCTGCCGCCGCCCTCCTCCTCGGCCAGCGGCAAAAACCCTGTCATGATTCTCAACGAGCTGCGGCCGGGCCTCAAATACGAGTTTGTGTCGGAGAGCGGGGAGAGCCACGCTAAGAACTTTGTGATGTCGGTGACTGTGGACTCGCAGACGTTTGAGGGCTCGGGCCGAAATAAGAAACTTGCTAAAGCCCGGGCTGCCCAAGCGGCTCTGTCGGCACTCTTCAACATGCAACTGGACCAGACCCCGTCCCGCCAACCCATCCCGAGAGAGGGGCTACAGCTGCACCTGCCGCAGGTAAGAGATCTCTACAGAGTCTTTAATACTGGCCAGAAAACTAGGCTACACGTAATGACTGATGTATAGTTCACCCAAAAATGAAAATTCTGTGGTCATTTACGATTCCTTCATTGAAAGTCCAAGTAACCAAAACTCTCAAATAGTTTAATAAAGGAATAGTTCGCCCAAAATGAAAATGTACTCGCCCTCAGGCCATCCAAGATGTAGATGAGTTTTTCTTCATAGTAACAGAACAGGAGAAATGTAGCATTACATCACTTGCTCACCAATGGATCCTCTACAGTGAATGGGTGCCATCAGAATGAGAGTCCAAACAGCTAATAAAAACATCACAATAATCCAAAAGAAATCCACACAACTCCAGTCCATCAATTAACATCTTGTGAATCGAAAAGCTGCATGCTTATAATAAACAAACGCAAACGTTTTTTAACTTCAAACTGTTGCTCTCTCCATAATATTACTTTCTCCAGTGAAAAAGTCCTCATCTGAATCAAGAGAGAAATATACACAGATCAAGCACCGCTTACAAGTGAAAACAGTCCAAAACAGTTCTAAATAAAAATGTTGGCTGATTTTGATGTGAGAGGGACAACAGGAGATGGGCATTTTCACTGGAGGAAAGTTATTATGGATTATGGACTTGTATTTTGGCCATAGGCAATGGTTTATCCAAGAGTTATGAAACTTTATATGATTTATTTAGGCTTTTGTTTAAATATAAACAATGAATCAATGAGGTTTGTTCTAGGGATGTAACAATACAATTTTTTCAGAACCAATCCGATACAGAAAATTCTGAGTATCGGCAGATACCGATCCTGATCCGATACCAGTGCAGTTTTTATTTTTTTATCAATGTAGAATTTCTATACTTCTGTGTGTTGACCTGATAGTCACTCTTTTGTGTGTTCAGCACAATCTGCTAAATATAGACAACTTATTTTAATGAAAAATAACTAATGAAAAAATATATAATCTATGACAAAAAATACTTTTAACTAGGTTAGTGGATAATTCAGCAGCAAAAGTTATTCTACAAAAATCATGAGTGCACAATAGTTTTATAAAATCTATATATTTAGAGAAATAACATTATTTAGTGGGGAACAAATAAAAGTGAGTAAGTGTAGGACTAAATCTGGTAAAATACTACACATTGCTCTTTGTAAAAACAAGTAAATATATTTATATATAAATATATACTATAAAATTAAAAGATATTTCTTTTAAATGTATAGCACAGTAGTGGAGGCAGCAACATGCTGCATGCCTCCATTACAGTGCTATTCATTATATTATTAATAGCCTTTCTTGCACTGTCCTATCATAGGACAGAACAAGAAAGGCTATTATTAAACTTTCATTGTGCAAAAGTATATGAAAGGCTCCAATACAGAGCTGCACAAAGCACTTATGCTCATCCCGTGCGCAGAATGTTGCGTTTGACGCAACACGGAGTCATAGCGCACAGCATTCCCTGACCGCTCCCTCTCGTCTGACCGATACCCGATACGGCAGAAAATGCCAGTATCGGAGCTGATACTGATGCAGTATCAGTGCATCCCAGGTTTGTTCCAGCACGTGACACGCACAAGTTTCTGTTTACAAAATGGGATTTGCTCTAAGTATGGATGTTTACATGTGAACAAAAGCTTAAATTTAAGTCTATTCATCATATAAGGCATTTGTATGTCTTCAAAAGACTTGGATTAAACCGCTTGATTCATATGGATTTGTTGAATGATGCCTTTGTTAACTTTTTGGATCTTTTAAGTTTTGGTTACCTGGACTTTCAGTGGAGGTACAGAAATCTTTCATTAAAAATATCTTGATTTGTGTTTCGAAGATTAACCAAATTCTTGTGGGTTTACAACATGAGTGTGAGTAAATGATGACAGAATTGTCATTTTTAGGTGAACTATGCCTTTAAAAGTTCATTCACACAGAGCATGTTCCAAAACCACGAGATGAACTATGAAGTTAAACCATTGAGACGCAATGCAACAGCTAAATAGATGTGGGCTGGAGTCTAGCATTAAAACATCTAGCTGTAACACAACATAGACACATTGCCATGCATCTTAAATGGCCTTTAACCTTTTGGTTTATTCACCAAGTTTTTGAAAGGTAATTTAATTATTAACAGCTATGCAGCAGTAAATAGTAATGGTTTATTTATACCCTAGACATAAGCAGGCCTCAATTGGTAAAGAAATGTTGTAGAAGACTGCATTACAGTTAGTTAATAAAAGTTAGAGGATTTTTCACAAATTCAAAATTTAACGTTGAAACTCATTTAAACCTTTAAAAACTCGTACTGCGGCTTCCTTTAGCACACACACACCAGACTGGCTAATAAAGTCTGATTGTATCTGATCTGTAACAATCTGATGAATATAAGAAATCGGTCCTTCACATCTCATAGTGTTTAATTGAAGTTTCTGATCCGTTTAAGTTTATCAGAGATCATCATCTAAGCCTTTATAACGTGATGCGCAAAACTGGCACAAATGGCCATCTTCATTAGGAACAAAGCCTAATGGAAATGAAGATGAGCTCTGTTAAAATGTTGGGATGGATTGAGTGATATAGCTTAAAAACCTTTCTTGATATGTTTTATACCATTTGATGATATTCTTCATTTATATATTTCATTTATTAGCTGTTTTGCTAAATGGTCTTTTTGTTTTACTATTATATTGTGTATGCATATGTTATGTATTATATGCATTTATGCATATAAACAGTATTATTATATTGTTTATTATTATTATATTATGCAAAAAGAGGATTTAACCTTTTCCACCAACATATCTGCACGTAGTAGCTAATTTATTTACATATATTTTTACGTACATATAAAAACATAATTTTTTAGTGATTTTTGGAAATTCTAAATTGATTCACGTAATTGGCCTGAGCTGATTTATTAGATGAATCAAACTTACCAACTCCTACTGGCTTGAATCCTTTTTACATTTTTGTACATGCAAATGTTTAGACACATAAGGACCTTGGAACTTGTCTTCAGGAACTGTGAATGGCCAAATAAACATTTTCAAATCATTATGGGATTCACCATGTTGCTTAATGTCATGTCACAAGCAAAGCATTGGATATATGTCATGCATATTCAATATATTGCTCACTCCTGCCAGTGAAACAACACAGTGAGCCGAAATGACCAACGACTGGCGTTTGTGTGAGAAGACGTCTATTTACACATTTCTAAAATCCTCTGTTAATCCTGCTTTTGAGATAAGGCCAGGCCTGGAAGCGACTCAATCTTAATTAACATCTTCCTCTGAACCGTGTCAAAACAAGAACATTTTGTTTCAGCCTGCCCACTACCTGTCCACTAAAGAGCAGTCCTGTCAGTGGCATGTTTTGTCTCTGATGCTGAAGGCTCTTGGGCTGTCTGTCTGCGTGACAGATACAGCGCCGTGAATGCAAAACCCCATTATCCATCCCTAATCTGATAGCCACATATTTAACATGCTGTCAATATGAGACCCAAGGTGGAGAAGGTGTATTTGTTTTAAGCAGATGGCGAGATGTTAAATAGACTCTGGTCACGGGACGACTGATCGTTTCAGGCATGTTTTTCCTGCTCTTGTGTGGCGATACAGACTGACCTCACATCCACAATGAAAGGTTGAATGATATAGGAGTGACAGAGGGCAATATGTCAAATATATAATGTATTGAGTACTGTAATTATATATCAGAGTAATGTTTTATGACACGGTGTTAGTTTTTGCTTTAAAAGTAACCAATAATGCCACATTTTAATAACCTTATAGTAATGCACATCATTTAAAACATTCTATAATATAATAAATATGTAGTTTTCCTATATATGTACAGTATATGTATGTGTGTGTGTATATTCATTGGATTATATAAGAAATAGACATTGGATTATGACAATGTGGTACCTATTAGGCGAACAACAAATTAGATGATAATGTAATAAAAATAATAATTGTATAATTATAAAATCATGTATAAATTTTTTGTAAATAATATTTATTTTTATTGTATTTTATTAGTGTAATGTTACTAGCATAAATGTTTAAACATTGGACTATATAGAAATGAAATTATAATATTATATATGTATATATAAATATTATATTATATTATTGTTTATATATGTGTCAATGTGTGTGTGTGTAATAATTAATAATTATATTATATGGCACATATTAGCTAATAATATCATTATCTGGTATTTGTAATATTTTGATATATACCTTTACTTAGAAAATTATTTGCACTGTAATTGCCACTTAAAATTATAAATTATATACGCATTTTTAATTAATAATATTAATTTTATTATATAATTATTACCATAATAAATGTGTAATGATTAGACTATATAAAATGATATAAAATTACTTATACGGTTATTAACATAATGTATGTTAAAAAATTCTATAAAATTACTTATGATGTTATTAACATAGAATGTATGTTATCTTCCTTGAAATGTTTTTTTTTTTTCTTGCTGCGTTAGCCTCCTTTTTACACTTTCTTGGTTTTCTAGGCTGCTCTCGTGTGAAATCTGTCAGTGTCTAGTTGGCCAGTGAATTCTGTCCCCAGGCGCTAATGGGAAATGAAAGCAAATAAAGATGATGGTGGAAACTAGTGTTTTATATCATGAGAGTAAAATGCAGCCTTCTGTTCGTTTGGAGATTTCACTGTCTCCTGATAATATATCGAGAGTACGCTCCGCCGAAAACTCCCATTAGCCGTCTCCGACCGAGTGACTCCGAAGTATTTGGGAAGTAATGTTAGACTAATGTCTCTAATTCTTGCCCATTCGGCCATTGATTTTTCCCTGGCATAATCATTTTCCAGCATATTAACAGGGAGCTTAAGGAATGTGAAGTGGAGGGCACTGTTAGCGGAAAGGATTCACCGAGGTGCCTGAAGGGTTTCGATGAAATATTGATATTATATTGCAGCAGCAGAAGGTGAATCTGAGGTCTGCGGTAAATTTTGCTTTACAGTCATCCATAGAGGAACAGGTTCTTTGAAATATTCAGTTGAGTTTCATTTGAGTTCATTCCATTAAAAATCAGTACATTGTGTTGAAACTCAGTATTAAACTTTGACTTGTAAGTTCAATTTTTTTCTTCGTGGAATTGCATATTCAAAAAAGAAAGAACGTAGAGCCTTGACTTGATTTTATCCATCAGTAATTGATTGGATTATGAGAAGTGGGTATTACATACTGAAGCAAGTTTGTTGAAGGGGATAGGGGATAAAAAAAAAAAAGAGGATTAAAAAGTGAAAATGTTATTATATTTGAATAATATGCATCCATATATGGAAGTTTGTTTCTGCCACAGGATGGAAAAACGAAAAACTGGATTTGTGAGATTGCAAAATGTATTAACTTGCAATTCTGAGTTTATATCTCAGGTTTTTTTGTTTTTAATCAAAATTGCACGATACAAACTCAGAATTGCGAGTTAATAAATTTTGCACTCACAAATCTTGATTTTTGTTCTCGCGTTTCTTCACAGAATTGCAAGTTTATATCTTATAATTTTATGTTTTTATTCCATGGCATAAACAAAACAAAACAAACAAAAACAGAACTGTGAGATATAAACTCTGAACTCCAAGAAAAAAGTCAGAATTCTGATTTTATAACTCATAATTTTGCCTTTTTTCCCCCCTCTGAATTTCAAGTTTATTTGATGCAATTTCAGGTAAATTCAGACTTATTTTTTATGAAATGCGAGACAAAGGCAGAATTGTGAATGTAATGTTTTATCTGTGACAGAAATGGCCTTCTATACCCATGAGTCGTGTACGACATGAAAAGTTCACTGTATATCATAGTAATAAATACCATTTATTACAGCATTGATATTTTGTTTTCTTTTTAATTTATACACATTAAATATTACATATATGTATGTAATAAAATGTGTATTTCCATTACAGGTTTAGGTCTTAAATTTCATATAAGGTGGTATTAAAAAGGTCTTAAAAAGTCTTAAATTTAACTTGTTCAAGTCTGCAGAAACCCTGTGTTCTGAATATGCCATGCCTGCCTATAGCAGAGTCATAAATGTACTGATGTGTGTTCATGTGTTATTGATGTTAGCATTGCAGTCTGTGTGAAGTCTGACATCTGTATGCTCTTTACCAGGTCCTTGCAGATGCCGTTTCTCGTCTGGTAGTGGACAAATTCAGCGAGCTCACTGACAACTTCACGTCTCCACATGCACGACGGAAAGTTCTGGCTGGCGTCGTCATAACAACAGGTAGAGTTCTATATACGATTTTTATTCAAAACGGTTCCATTTAAACATTGAAGAATGTTAGTAATCCATTTGAATCAGCCTAATGAATCACTCACTGACTGAACTGATGTGACTCATTTTATGTACTTTACATGAAGAACGCTTTTACTATTAAAATAACTAAAATAATCACTAATGAAATCAGAGCCTGAATCTTGAGTTGTAGATATTCCTAGACTTCAGTACAGCAGTTTTCATGTTTTGTGATTTTTGTTGGTGTGTTTCCTCTTGCTTTTAACTCAGGCACCGATGTCAAGGACGCTCAGGTCATCTGCGTCTCCACGGGAATAGTGTATATTGAATTTATTGATAAATTGTAATAATTTGACATGTAAGATGATGCATACATCGCAAAAGGTTAAAAATAGGCCTTTGTAAAGGTAAATATGCAGATTTAAGTATGTAAAAGCTGATAGAACACTGATGAAAATATTGCTTCAGAATAAATTGTTTACTCCACCAAAAATCTCAGTGATGCAGTTATTTTGCAGGGATATTTTGTATGGAATATTGTCTGCTGACATGAAAAGTTCACTGTATATCATAGTAATAAATACCATTTATTACAGCATTGATATTTTGTTTTCTTTTTAATTTATACACATTAAATATTACATATATGTATGTAATAAAATGTGTATTTCCATTACAGGTTTAGGTCTTAAATTTCATATAAGGTGGTATTAAAAAGGTCTTAAAAAGTCTTAAATTTAACTTGTTCAAGTCTGCAGAAACCCTGTGTTCTGAATATGCCATGCCTGCCTATAGCAGAGTCATAAATGTACTGATGTGTGTTCATGTGTTATTGATGTTAGCATTGCAGTCTGTGTGAAGTCTGACATCTGTATGCTCTTTACCAGGTCCTTGCAGATGCCGTTTCTCGTCTGGTAGTGGACAAATTCAGCGAGCTCACTGACAACTTCACGTCTCCACATGCACGACGGAAAGTTCTGGCTGGCGTCGTCATAACAACAGGTAGAGTTCTATATACGATTTTTATTCAAAACGGTTCCATTTAAACATTGAAGAATGTTAGTAATCCATTTGAATCAGCCTAATGAATCACTCACTGACTGAACTGATGTGACTCATTTTATGTACTTTACATGAAGAACGCTTTTACTATTAAAATAACTAAAATAATCACTAATGAAATCAGAGCCTGAATCTTGAGTTGTAGATATTCCTAGACTTCAGTACAGCAGTTTTCATGTTTTGTGATTTTTGTTGGTGTGTTTCCTCTTGCTTTTAACTCAGGCACCGATGTCAAGGACGCTCAGGTCATCTGCGTCTCCACGGGAACCAAGTGTATAAACGGCGAGTATATGAGCGACCGTGGGCTGGCGCTCAACGACTGTCACGCTGAAATCATCGCTCGCCGCTCTCTGATCAGGTATCTCTACATGCAGCTGGAGCACTTCTTAAGGTGAGACGCTGTGTTTACTGTCCTGCATGTCTGTGTATGTCTCATATTTCACCACAGCATGATGAATGTTTAACCAAGCAGAAGGGAAATTAAACTCATAAACGGTTTTTAATTTAATATTTTGTGTTATTGTATACGGTTTTAAATAGAGATGCACATTAAATAGAGATGAATTACGATATGGCCTTTTTTTTATTTATTAAACCTCCAATTGCTTTGATTGAATTAAATTTGTATGGAAATATATTTAAAATAATAATCTAGAAAAGGTAATAATAAACAACAAAATGCAATAAAATATATATATATATTATATATATATATATATGCACTTGGCATATAGCTAACCATTTTAATTTATTCCCTTAATATTTCTATTGTGGCCTGTACATAGTGGAAAAAGAGAGAAGAAACGTATTTCGTGTTAAGCAGGTTGTTTCTCTGGGGATGTTTCAGTGCGTTTGGAACTGGGAATCTCATCAGGGTCAAAGGAATCATGAAAACTGAAGACTACGAGAAGATTTTGAAAGACAGCCTCAGGCAATCTGCAACAAAAGATGGTTTGGGTCAACGTTTTGTCTTCCAGCATGATAGCGACTCAAAGCATACCTCATTTCTGGTCTAGAACTACCTCCAAATGAGCAAAGTGAATGTCCTTGACTGGCCTGCACAAAGCCCAGGCTTGAATCCAATAGAAAATCTGTGGGGCACGCTGAAGAGCAGAGTCCATGCCAGGAGACCAACAAATCTGGAGGAACTTGAGAGATTTGCTAAGGAGGAATGGGCTGCAACTCCTCAGGAGACATGCCTGAAACTTGTTGAGAACTACAACAAACAACTAAAGGCTGTTATCAAGCAAAAGGGATACACCATTGACTACTAACATCAGAGGGCTAATAATTTTTTTATTATTGGTTATAATGTTGTTTCTATTTGTATTACAAACATTCCAAGCTTCCTAAATAAACTATTATGTTTAGAAATGCTGTGTTGAAAAAAATCTTCTTTCTGTTAAAGAGCACTTGGGAATTAGTTAAAAAATAATGAAATATTTTATAGGGG